TATCCTTTTTCAAGGATAAGCAGTAGCACAGAAAAAATGGCCTTGCCGTGGAAGATACACTTCATGATATACTGAAACAGAAAATAAAGAACTAAAGTTCCTTCATTCACCACAGCCTTTGATTCTTTGACTTTTCCTTTCTTTTTTATTCTTGGAGACAGAGCTTACCAGATTAGACACGACGTGCATCAGTCTGGACCCAAGCTAACATACCGACTCAACAGCTACACCATACCATGTGCATCTGAGGTTTCTGGCACTAGGTCTGTGATTCCTGCACTTTGATTTAGCACAAAGAACAATGATGCCTGGAACACGTAAATCACATAAATCAAGTCATGCAAACTCCTCTCACATTAAGGTTAAAGCCATGAGCTTTGATGCCCTTGAAACAAGAATGAAAACCACCACTGTATCTCTCCATATTCCATTTCTCCAGCTGCACAAAGTACATCAATCTACACCGATTTCATAAGACAGAAGTGGTAAAATATTATTCTCTGTTACCGTCCCAAATCCCTGCACAAAGCCCTGGGATGTTCCTCAAGAGGAAAATTAACATGAAGGCTTCAGATCAAAACGCTAAAAAGTAACCATTGGGGTGGATCTTTGTTTTCTTCACCACATGAACAGTAAACCTTCCACAGAAGACAAGTTCATGGAGTATATATTACTAGATGGAGGTCACTGCACTACAGGAAAATCTTTATTCTAGAAGAGTAGGCAACCCAATATCAGAGAAAAGTCCTGACTACACAAAATGTGTTGTTTGCTACAAATGAGGTAGCACCTCATTATGAAGAGACAGGATGACATTGTCCTGTTTTAGCCAGAACTGCATTAGTAGAAGTACTCACCACTCTTCTTTCTTCCCCTTCCCACTTCCATTCTCAAGAAGAAACACACATATAGACTATCAAGACACTGATGATGATCACCAGGCACAATTTATTAGAGTTCTGATAGGAAATATACAGGTACTCAACCTTCATTTCCTGGCTAAGGGCATAAAGAGCATTGCTTGCAGCTTTGCTCTTTCTCTAGGTGTCCTTCTCACTCTGTGTTTTAGATCTGTAGGACAAAAAGTCCTGCCACCCTCAATTTTCAAGTTCACATGTTTTTGACTGCCCACTATTTATGTACTCAGTAAAGCCAATTTCACATCTGAAAAAGTCTGCTCAAGTACTAAAGCATAGCTCAATCTCGCAGACATTTGTGCCAGTCATTTTAGTCACAGAAGCCAACAGCTCAGTCATGAAAGTATGCTCTAACACCCTGATGTAGACAAACGACAAAGAATAAGTCGAACACTAACAACACAGGATTTGTTCAACATCATATTCTCCTTCCTATGTCTTCATTTGAGATAATTATTATTCGTAGAGGATGGGGAACACACAGGAGAATACGGGTTGCATCAATATATTTCAGTATCTTTGGAAGTAAAAGCAAATCACTATTTTCCCTCACTTCACGTAAGATCAAAGAAGTTTTTTCCAATGATTCTGAGTCAAAGACCTCTTAACATCCTTTTCTTCTTCGAAGCTCCAGAAGATCAAAAAAATTATATTTTCTTTGACAGCCAAATTACTCTACAAGATTAAGTTCTTCCTATATGAGAAATTCCACTGGTAGCAGTAGAGCTTTTAGTAAGAGAGAGACTTGAATAAACCAGACACACAGAATCCCTTTCATTAGATGATTTCTTATTCCTAATTCGCTCAATCTCCTAGAGATGATTTTACCTTTCTTGGGAACAAATCATTTAACTAATGGCAGAAAATTAAAAGTTACAGAGTTTAGGCCTGTGCACAGTCTCATCTTCAACACATAGAACATATTTCACTCTGAATCCTGTATAAAGCCTTTCTTATCTTTACAGCCGTTGCTATGAAATCAGTCAACATAAATTTATGTTATAAGGTATTTTAGCATACACTTCAATTTTGTCTACATAAGATAGACAATTTTTTTTTTAAAGAAAATTCTGTTAATAAGCAGGTTTTTTAATCTTTGTGAACCTTACAAACCATTTGTTTGTAATGTGGAACACTTGAGACATTCCACAGTGGAATGCTTGCACAGTGATCTTGCAGGCAGCTAATTTCTCAGATACCCACTTGCCATTCCTTTGTGGAATATGAATAAGATTCCTGTCCTCATAGTTTAAACAAACAAGATAAAAGCAGTACGTGTTGATTATGTATTAAAAAAAAAAAAAGTGTTTCTGAACGTAACAGGAATTCATCACTAAAAGTAGACAGTTCATCAGCACCTTAGGAATAATCCAATACAATTCAAACATTGAAAAGCAGTCTGCATTTTAGACCCTAAGTGTTGCTAACTTACCTAAATAAAAAAAGTTCCTGGTTACCATTATACAACACTGTATTTTTAAGAAACAGACCGGGAGCAATAAAAAATAAATATTTTATAAAGCATAATGCAGCAGAGAGCAAGTTAACATGCAAACGATTGCCCATGAGAAGAAACAAAATATATTGTTTCATTGAAAGCTACAAAATTGAGTGGGTTTAAACCTTCAATTTCTTAATCTTTTCTTACTATAGTTTTCCTTCTTGTCACAAAAGGAATTTGAAGAAAATACCTTTGCCAGTTTATATGCTTGGTATGAAATGTCAAAAAGCCACTGAGTGGCTTTTAAGGTGCCTAGAAGTCAGATACTTAGCGTTATTAGCTGTTTACCAGAAAAAGACACAGAAAGACTGAACCAACAGAAAACTCACCTAAAGGGACAAAAAGTGTAAGTCGGAAAGCACACTCTTGTTCCAAGATGAAGTTGCAAGTGAACAAAATTTACACTTTAAAAGCTTACGCCCCTGCAATGTTTGTGATTTTTGATAACTGTTAGCCTTTTACGAAACAGCTATCATTTTCATCTAAAAACAAATACATTATATATGAAATATACGGATTATTTGGTACAACTTTGCAGGTGATGTTTCTTTAGTCTGTGAAGGGGCCTACAGTATGCTCCAAGAAATTTAGGAAACAAGGAAGAAGACTGCTTACTACAGAGCAGTCCTTATTCCAACAAATACAATAAACCTGCTGACTTACAGTGGGTACCATTACAGAATCACAGAATGATATGGGGTTGGAAGGGACCTCTGGAGATCATCTAGTCCAACGCCCCTGACAAAGCAGGTCCACCTAAAACAGGTTACACAGGAATGCGTCCAGGTGGGTTTGCAATGTCTCCAGAGAAGGAGACTCCACCAGCTCCCTGGGCAGCCTGTTCCAGTGCTCTGCCACCCTCAAAGTAAAGAAGTTCCTCCTCATGTTTAGATGGAGCTTTCTATGCACAAGTCTGTGCCCATTTCCTCTTGTCTTAGCCCTGGGCACCACTGAAAAAAAGACTGGCCCCTTCCTCTTGACACCCACTCTTTTAAGTATTTATAGGCATTGATCAGATCCCCCATCGAACTTCTCTTCTCCAGACTAAAAAGACCCAAGTCCCTCAGCCTTTCCTCATAAGAGTGATGCTCCAGGCCCCAGATCATCTTTCTGGTCCTCTGCTGTGCCCTGTCCAGGAGTTCCTGTACCTCTTGAACTGGGGAGCCCAGAACTGGACACAGTATTCCAGATGGGGCCTCACCAGGGCAGAGTAGAGGCAGGATAACCTCCCTTGACCTGATAGCCACACTCTTCCTAACATATCCCAGGAAGCCATTGGCCTTCTTGGCCACAAGGGCACATTGCTGGCTCCTGGCCATCCCGTTGTCTACCAGGACTCCCAGGTCTTTTTCCTGAGAGCTGGTCTCCAGCAGGTCAGCCCCCAACCTGTACTGGTACAGGGGGTTATTTCTCCCCAGGTGCAGCACCCTACACTTGGCCTTGTTGAATTTCATCAGGTTCTTCTCTGCCGAACTCTCTCTATAAGTTAGACAAGTCCAATAGGCTAAGGAAATGAGAAGTGCAACAGGGCAGCAAGCTAGCGTCTTCAACAAACAAACAAAAAACCCCACTAACCCAAACAAATAAACAGCAAGATCTAACATATGCAGACTATAATCCTCACTTAATACTACCAAAATTAAATTCTGGTTACCAAAAAACACTTCCGCTTTGAGAAAACCATGAACATTTCCTCAGATCTCTGAGATAAAGCACAAGTTTATAGAATCAAAGTTGTACTATCAACCCCTAGGATTCAAATTTCTTAGTAATCATTTCCAGCTGGTGAAATAGCAGGTGATTTAAATCAGTCTAGGAATGATAGGTGGAGGCATTATGGTCAACACTAAGTTTGCACACCTTATCAACAATAACAAGATCATTGGATCCTAAGGTAGGAACAGCAGAGGTTCTAAGCACAAGTGTGTTGCACATTGTTCAATGTAAAACTCTCTACACTTAAGCTCTGTTATACACAGAAGTACTTCAGCAAGAACTCTGTATAGCACTGAAGTCATAACAGCTGATCTTTAGATGCCTACAGAATATTACTTCCCAGAGAAAATCAAAGACACTATAGAACGATCCACTTTAAGAAAAACTATGTTTACCTACAGAAGAATAGTACAGACAATGAAATAGGCAACTTCAACATGCAGAAAAAAATCTGCTTTGTGATACAGAGCCTTATCTGCTAGTGAAGAAAGAGATGTGTGAAGCAAGCATTAATAATTTTTACAAGCAACTGTTAGTTTGTTAAATATGGTATTTTAAGTTAGCCATGCAGCCTAAGGAACTTTAATATTAAACATGCAATCACAGGTATCTTAATAATACCACACGTGGACTGGCACAATTACTAGTGTTAAGCTCATTTACCCATGATTAGAGCACACTTCAAAGCCATCCATAGATTTTTGCTACTTGCACTGAGTATGGTACAGAAAATTAACAGTTTAGTGAGAGTTTGCAAATTAACTCCACGATTAAGACTGTTTCTTGTATCAATAAGGTTATTTCTATTGCATTAGCAATAAGGTTATTCGCTTAGCAAAGCCAAAGCAAAACTTAAGTTGTCTTACCACATCATCTGTCAGTGTCTTGATATTTAAGTGCTGTAAATCAAACAGGAAACCAGTCATGTCACAGTTGTGCAATTAAAAAAACAACAAAAAACCCAAACAAAAAAGCAAGTGTCAGTTATAGTTACTGCTATTCAAAATAAGGTCCAAGTTAAACAGTAATGAATCACAGCACTTTCACTGAATTTCACTGAATTCAGTGAAAGTGCTGTGACTTGAAATGAAGTAATAATTTCTTGGCAAGTTACACTTTGTTGGCTTACAGTGCACTGTAAGTTATACAAGGAATATAGTGTAGATTAAAAAAAAAATTATCTGTAATCTGATCCTTCAAGAGAATAATGCCAGAAGAATATAAACCAAGCATATCTTGAAACAAGTTGTATTTTATTATATATTTTATAGCTAAATATACTAGAGTGAAGACCTGCTTGTAATTCAGCTATTAGAATTGTGTCTCCTCGAAATGCCTGTAGGGACACCACCAAGAAATCTGTCCAGAGATTTTAAACTCAACAGAAGAAGATGGAGTTCCTCAACATTTCAAAACTATCTGCCAAGCTGCAACACTCCAACAACTAAGACTGTTGACTGCTCTCAAGCAACGACTATGTGGCAAGCAGAGCATGAAGTTATGAGTAGAAACTGACATCAGCATTTATTAGTAGTAACATCCATTGGCAAACACAGCAAGTGCTAGGACACGCAGCTCTTGCACAAAACCAAAGAGCAGCACTGAAGAACATTGTCAACTAGTGAGTCAGTGCTGCAGGGATCCCATTTATAGTTTTTATGAAGAGACCAAGAACAGACTTGGCAGGGAAGTGGGAAGGATGTGAAGTCACATACTTAGTGAAAAACTCTCATCCTATTCTTAGGCTCACCTCACTGCCTGGTGTGCAAAGCTCCACAGCAGCTACAGTAACTGTAGCAAATGGCTATATATGAATTAATCAGATTTGGAAACTCTTGCTTTGTCTTCAACAAGTCAACAATACTTAGATAGCATTGGTTATGACTTCTCTGGCTCTTCCCTCAGAATAGAAAAACAGTTTGTGTTAGGTCAAATACTATCCCATTACAGCTTTTCTCTGAGTATTGCCAAGAAACTGAGAAAGAAGCACCTGATGAATGGCTATGAAATTAAAAAAAAAAAAACAAAACAAAAAGCAAGTGAAGTGTGAGGGAACACTCAGTACTCAGTGACGTAATGTGAGCTCTACCACCAATAATAAAAAAAGATTTGACCTAGGTCAGCACTGAACTTTTATGACAAACCCATTCCATGTTCTAACAGATGAGGATTTCCAATGAATGAAAACAACAACAAAGTGAAAATATTTGAATCCTGTCAGGAGAATTAAGATCTCGTTGGTGTTCTCCTGCTGCAGGGATAGATCTGACTTTTGCAGTACACAGTGGGGTTTTATGACTTGTTCTTTCCATTCTGCTAAATAGCTACAAGGACAGCATAAGCATTAATTTCTGTCCTTTGCAAGAGCTCATAACTTTACATTTATGAAGTTGTTGATATAATACCTCTATCCTTAAGTGATCAAAATAGCAGGAGGAAACACTAACATATGGTTTTACACTGCAACTTGGTAGCAAAGAACATAAAAATTATTCCTTTCTCATACACACAACTTAAACCACTAAGCCTTAAGCAATGTACAGATACCATTGTGAAGCTCCTCTGACATGATAGGAGACTGAGTAATCTGCTTAGAATGAAAATCTGCATTACATACTTTGAAGTGGAAGTTCAAGATTCCTGTCAAAATCACGTACATTCCACTAAATAAACACAGGCAGCACAACACCAGATTCATTTCCACTTAGGAACAGGTGTTGGATGTTCTGCAACTGCTCTGTTCAAGACATCGTCATCATCCATGGAATCAAGGCAATATTTTTCAGATTCAGGTTTTGTGCTATGAAAAAGTCAAAAGTTAATGGGATAGCTCCAGCCAATATTGTGCCTTTCTATTAAGCTGTTAAATTCAGCACTGGAATTTACTGTGGTAAGTAGTGAAGAGTTCCCCATTTTGTATGTCATAACGCCTCGCTGACCCAGGTCATCTGACTAACCAGTGAAAAAAGACTACCATGGAACCAGTTAAGGACACCATAATGGTATAAGAAACTCAATATACAGATATGAGTCTCCAAAATCTTCAGCCTACTGGCTACCTACAGTACAGGAGTATAAAAATACAAACATAAGACCTCTTTCAGACAATGTTGTGGGGTCGGACTCAAAAGTAACTGCTACAAGGAAGTGAACCTACTCAACCAGCACTCAGCCATCAACACTGGTAACATTGCGTTTGGATATTCCTTTATAAAGAAGCAGAAACCCCATGCGAACTACAGCCTAATGTCTGGATCTTTTAGCACTCTAAGATTAAAGGGCTGGATGACTTGCACTAAGACATCTCAAAAGACTTATTCTGTGAACTTCATGTTACCATACTTCTCAGCCAGAGAAGCTTTTAACTAGAGGAGCTGATTAAAACATGTGAACTGGGGTCATCTTTTTCCTTCTCCCTCACCAAGCCCTTCTCTTCTGGCAAGGCTGTACAACGTAAAACCAGTTGTCAACTTTTCTGGTCCTCTGTAGCATTCAAGGATAGACAGATGTTGAACATGACATGAGGTCTTAACAAAAATCTTATCACACTGGATTAATGGCATTAAATTTAGAGGTATGCTGTGACTCATGAACAGGAGCATATTGTTATTCTTGCCTGGCCAAACAAACAAAACACACACATTTCTAATCATAGGAAAAAAAATAATTAGACCACAGTTAAGTAGAGGTTGGCGTGCTTTACCACCACAGGAACATATTTCTATTTTCAGGCCTGGATATATCAGTTCACAGAAGACATGTTCTGCTCAGATGAATAAGTTGCGTTAAACATAGGCCTGCAAGTAATTAGATCTGGTTTAAGTAATATTCCTGTAATATTCACTTACTGCTAAAAACATGATACAAGCTTACAGAATACTGCTTTGTAGTGGATGAAAATACTAATATGCTGTTCTGTACCTTCCATGAACTACTCCAGAATAATAAAACAATTGCTTTTGAGAACATAGGAGCTATGTACAAGCAGTCCTCTACTCTGTTTGTTATGTAGAAAACATATGCAAAATTAAAAAACAAATTAACAATATTTTAATTACATTGACATCATGTTTTCTAGTTGAAGAGATACAAAACCATGAAGCAATTAAGGAGTCTATTAGGATGCTTTAGAAGTCCAGATTTATCAGTAACACCTACAGTTGGAAAAGCAGAAGCATCACCATTGCTTAGTGTTCAGTTGTACAAACACATTTATAAACAACTAACATTTTGAATTTACATTTTCCAAAGTAACGTTTCAGTCTGGGACACAGAGAAAGAGATCATTTTGTTTAGCAATTGAACAGAAGCAGTTCAGTTATAGCTAAATCACAATAAAAAAGTAGTATAGAGATGTATCATTACTGAAGAAAGTGAGCAATCTGACATGGAATTACCCTCTACTGAAGATTAAGTCCCTCAGACATACTGCTAAACAACTTATTTCACTGGCCACAGGATATACACATACATTCAGTGTATGGTACAGTGTTCTTGACAAGCTGTCAAAAGGCCCGATCTCAAAATAGCAAAGACAGAGACAGTCTTAGATGGAAACTGAAAGATACAATAGGACCCAACAGCTGAGGTTCACATCACATGCAGAGCAACAAGACGACTTCTCACAGAACAGAAAAAGCACTGTGTCTCCTGAAAAAGTCACATATGACAAAGCCATGTATGATGCAACTTCTGCACTACCCAGCCAGGGAAAGTAAACCAAGTACTATTTGGTTTCATATATATTCACATTAAAAAAAAAAAAAAAAAAAAAAAAAAAATTTTTGCAACTCCAGGGACCCATGTGGCTCTGCCTTTTGCTTTAAAAACCCGCTTACATCCTGCCCTGTGATTAATTCACGTTCCTTTCCTTGTTTTTTATTAAAAAAAAAAAAAAAAAAAAAAAAGTCTTATTGTCATACAGAAGGGGATGATCTTATGTTGCATATCCAAACGGTAGCACATACTGAAAGTTAATCTGCAAGACAGAGTTTAACAAGTAGAGTTATTGTCTATATAATCACTCCAGTCAACTCTGGGTAGAGACAGTAAAATGAAGCAAAGAAATGACAAATGCCACTTAATTGGCTCAACAGTACTAGTTTGATCTTTTGTGTCATTACATTTATGTCTCTTAGAATTTTGTTTATAAATATGCACATGCAATCTAACCCAGTACAAGCAGACCAAGCAAACAGGACCAGAATGCAGGAGAACACCATCTCCTCACACGGGACTCCGGTCTCATGTATTGAGTGTTTTTTCCACGAGCACCACAGCTCAGTGCAGCCTGGAAGGGAATACCCTACTGCAATAGAGGGGATAGTCTGTATCATCTAAAAGTTTGGGCACCCTACCAAAAGGGGCAGCATCTCCATTCTCCACAACTGCTCTTTTCACTAACACATAAGCACAGAGTGATGTTGCTCATCCAAGTTTCTGAATGAAAACAGCACGCTTGGTACGTGACCTCAGATCATGCCTGGCAGGGATGGACATTGTTAGTATGTCCGAGAGGCAGACAAAGTCTGATTTGTTGAGCATAAGTGGCATTAGAAGATACGACAAACACCCAGATCTTGTGCAATACATCTCTGCCCTTATGAGAGGATTTTTAGGCATGCAAAGTTACAGGCTCTCAGGCAGCTAAACAAGAATTTCCACATGCAGGCCTTTCACCACACTGAAGTATTTCAATTTACAAAAAATGAGAAATCCCTCAGCCTGATATCTAAACCCTTTTTGGATCTTCATTTTTGCCTTCCTTGCAGAAGAAAATACAGAACACCACATATAACCCACCCCACCTCTCAACCACCACACACACGTATAGCTTCTTTGATACATTAAGAGGAGCTTAAAGTTACATGTAGCTATGAGAAACAAGGGGGAAAAAAAGGGGGAAAAAAAGTGAGAGTTTAAGCAAGATGCAATGAGTTTTAGAACTGGCCAACTTAAGCCTGAATGCTGAAAGCAGATAAACGAAGACTAAGGATGTACATATAATCACACAATCCCCTCCGTACCTTTCTAAATTACAAAGCGAGAAAGAACTCATCACACGCTGCCATTAATTCTATCAAAAAAAATTCAACACTAGCTGTTTTATCCCCAAAGGCTATTCTCCAGCAGAAGCACAACCAGAAGACTGAAGCAGGGATTGCAAGGAAACCTGTAGACTCAGTTAGAGACACATAAATTGGATGATTACAGTGGATGCTACTACTTCAGGATCTCCTTTGTCACAATACTCCCTCAGTAATTTTGCTACCTTAGTCTGTAAGCGCCAATTAGAAACTGCTGTATAACCCCACAGCATTTCCTACTTTTAATTTCCAATATACTTCTTCAGCATTTATTTAATAGCTTTATCACACACACTCTGTTGCTTGGAAAGCACTCTGAAAAGCAATCAGGGGCAAAATTATCTTAACATGACAGTTTCTACACAGTGATATTCTTTAGACATTGATGAGTTAAACTCAAAATTGGTGCTTACAGGTAAGATTATATAAGAAAGTGCTAGAACACAGCACTAAAATTTAATTTCATAACCCACAGTGTTAATTCATGCCAACAAAAATAACAGCATGAGGAATTTACAATTTTACAAAGCTGCAATAAAGTGTTTTAGGCAACATCTGTTCAGCAATCATTTCTTTAAAAGACTAATTTAGATTCAAGGTCTTACACTGCAGCGTAACTGCAGCAATAATTCAGTCACTTCGTAATTAAAGATATTGACACAGATCGGTCTTACCTTTCTGCTCTGTGCCAGAGAAATGGAAGTGCTTTTGCTCTTAACTACATCTTTCTTTGATTTACAGACACCGTTAAATGCAAGTGTTAATTTGTCTAGTTTTAACAGATTGGTGCAAACAAGAAAGCCTTCTTGACTCACATAAATTTCATAAAGAACTTAATCAAAAACATAACCTGAAAGTCACTGAAGACACATCAATGGTATACTGAAGTTAACTGAAACACCTCTAACTTGAGCTAGTAATTGAAGCCTAGTGTCTACAAGATATAGTTCCCGTAAAACGCAACTGGAAGCCATGTGATCTAGCACTCACTTTCATGATTTCCAAACACTTCTAAGGAAAAAAAAAATATCAAGGAGATGAAGTGGCAAGCAAATGCTTTTACCCCACCCCCCCAACAGATTTCAAAAGTTTCCTGCTCAGTCTATTTTTACACAGAAAACAGGTATAATCTCTACCGTCCTTCAATTTATTTCTTCTTTTTACCAAGCCCTAACCCTCAAGGGTGAATCTAAGAGCTGAAGTACCATAGCATACCTTTTACCCTCTTAAGGGTCCAACTCTTCCAAAACCTTGGACCTGCTGAACAAGCCAAGCTGGTATGCACTTCAAAATTAACTGTGACTCCTTAAAAGAAATTTTTTTAATAATTCTGTAAGAGAATCGACAGAACTGAGGACTTGCAACTCATTCACTTTTCTGAGAAGCTAGTTTATTCAGAAAGGCAGTACTTCAAGATCACGTTTGATTGAAATCAACTGCTATAACTGTTTAGCCCAAAGACTCTTTCTCCCCCCTCTAGACAAAGTGGCTTTAAAAAGAGAGATTTCCCTCCTGCTAAATAAGAATTTTCTTTGGAAGGAAAAAGAAAAAAAAAGAAAAAAAGAACTACATCTTAACGATGTCAACTTTGTCAACCAGCAATCCAATTTCACCTCAAGGTTTGTCAGGGCATCAAATTCTTTTTCAGATTAGCATATCTGCTGTGACAGATCAATATGTTGCATTGATTAGAAGGGTCCAACCTGGAACATATTTTTAGTCCTTTTGCACTGAGGAAAATTAGGCTAATACAATCTAGATGACTTGAGTTGACTGATTCTAATGGCCAATTTCATCCACATTTGACAAGCGCACAAGAGATCAGAAACATAATTCAGGTGACATGTAGAAGTATGGCACCCTAAGTAGTCCAAACACAGAAAAGGTAACAACCTATATCTAAGAGTGAATTACAGAGAATTCAAAGGGGTTAAGGAAGTTTTCTGTGTTCTGACACAAAACTAACTTAATTAATAAAAGTATATTGAAGATGTATTACAGGAAGAGTTAGGCGTGAACAAGTCAACATAGATAGACTAGAACAGAATCATTCAGATCAGAAAGGACCTTTAGGATCATCAAGTCCATTAGCCTAGCGCTACCAAGTCCACCATTAAATCATGTCCCTAAGTTCCACATCTACATGTCTTTTAAATACCTCCAGGGATAGTGACTTCACCACTTCCCTGAGCAGCCTGTTTCAATGCTTGACAACCCTTTCAGTGTGACAATTTTCCTAATATCACAGAATCTTCTAGGTTGGAAGGGACTTTAAAGATCATCTTGTCCAACCGTCAACCTAACTGACAAAAATAGACACCCACACAACAAACAAGAAGCATCACCATCACTAAACCATACCTCCCAGCACTACATCAACCTGTCTTTTGAACACCTCCAGGGATGGTGCCTCAACCACCTCCCTGGGCAGCCCATTCCAATGTCTGATAACCCTTTCAGTGAAAAAATTTTTCCTAATATCCATCCTAAACCTCCCCTGGCATAACTTGAGGCTGTTTCCTCTCATGCTATCAATTGTAACTTGGGAGAAGAGACCGCCACCCACCTTTTTACACCCTCCTTTCAGGTAGTTGTAGCAAGTGATAAGGTCTTCTCTCAGCCTTCTTTTCTCCAGGTTAAACAATCCCAGCTACCTCAGCCTCTCCTCATAAGACTCGTGCTCTAGACCCTTCACCAGCTTCACTGCCTTTATCCGAACGTGCTCCAGCACCTCAATGTCTTTTTCATGGTAAGGGGCCCAAAACTGAACAACTCAGTATTCAATGTAGTTCAGTTCAACTGAACAATGAAAGTATTCAAGGTGCAGCCTCACCAGTGCCGAGTACAGGGGCACGATCATCTCCCGAGTCCTACTCACCACATTACTTCTGATACAGGCCAAAATATTGTTGGCCTTCTTGGCCACCTGGGCACACTGCTGGCTCATGGTCAGCCAACAGCCTGCCAACAGTCTACCAACACTCTCCAGCCATTCATCCCCAAGCCTGTAGCGCTGCCTGGGGTTGTTGTGACCCAAGTGCAGGACCAGACAGCAATCTGTGCAGCCACACTATGAAAAGGATTCCAGGAAATAGGAATGCCAGGAGCAAGTTGTGACCTTCCACAACGGGTTTGGCTACCCTACAGTTTGACATTGCGTGTTGGCTAACTTCAACTAGCTGCGTATGAAGTATGGTAACACCTTTTTGAATCATCATAGAATCATCTAGGTTGGAAAAGACCCTTGGTGGGATCATTGAGTCCAACCATCTACCCTACTCTACAAAGTTCTTCCCTACTCCACCCCCAGCACCACATCTAAACGACTCTTAAACTCATCCAAGGATGGCGACTCAACCACCTCCCTGGGCAGCCTATTCCAGTGTCTGACCACTTTCTGTGAAGAATTTATTCCTAATGTCCAGTCTAAATCTACCCTGTTGAATCTGTGCTCAAGTGCCAGACACTCAACTATTGAATAGAGAACAAAGAGGCCTTAGAATCAAGAATCTACGGTATGTTATTTACTACAGTATCTATTCTGCAAGCACATAATACAGCTCAGAGCAGGTGGGCTCACAGCCAGCTAAACTTAACATATGCATCACCTAAATGCGAGTACGGGATTGCATCTGCTCAGCATGTGGTGGATACACGACCTGTAGAATAAGTGTTTGTCACAGCTTTAATACTCGCAAATTTCATAAGATTCAGGCAAAAAATGGTCACTCCTGGGTATTTTTTTAGTTACAGCACATCTTATGGACATGTTGCCTTGTGGGAACTATTAGCTGTTCCAAGTTTTCCAGTTTCTTGGTGTGCTAGCCAAAATTTTGTAAAAGCAGGGGTAAGGAGGAGAACTTTCCTACGCCCCTAAAATTCAAAGGCTCAGCTTTTCACTATACAGTTTACATCAGCAAAGTAAATAAATAAATTAATTAATGAATAAACAGATCTAATTCAAATAAAAGTAAGAGCACTGAAGAGCTGAAGTCTGTTCTGTTCCCCTCACGCCTCTAGCTGTCAAACTGCGAGTTAAGAAAATAAAGCTTTACGCTGAAGAGGCTCTCAGGGGGGTGCAGGTCAGTGACAAGCCCCGGGGCTGGGGGGGGGGGGGGGGGGGGGAGGGGGGGGGAAATGGGCCGAGGAGACACCCCCGAAGAAGAGGGACGGGGGGTTGCCCTGTCGGGGAAGAT